GCATCATGTAGGACAGACATGTTTTTAAGAATAACACTTATAGCACCATGTGTGCACACAAACAAAAACAGAAAGAAAGAAAGAAGGATGACTATCGATTATTAAAGCTTGCAACTTTCTATGTAATCTAACTGGTTCACATCCAATTCACAGAAGCTCAGAAGGGCTTAATAAAATATAAAGGCAGAGGAGAAAGTTATGGAGAAAAAAGAAAGAGAAAAAGGGCTGCAAACAAAATTGACAATTAATCAGTTTTCTTTACTAGATTCCAAGGTTATCGATAGCGGATAGCGACCCGTAACGGTGATGCATCACTAAGGCTATTTTGGGCTACTGCGGAAAATAGCGGTGAAAAGGACAAAGTAAAATGGCGGTCTAATTCAAATAGGCATGAATATTCCAAAAATTAAAAAAATTAAAGAAAATCTAAAAATCTAAAAGTGCATATTTGATGATTTAAAGAGATCATAAATATGAATTAGACATGTAACTGTCACATAATACCAAAAATGATTGGAGGAGTCAAAGAGTCATCGTGTTCGAGAAGATGAGCTGAGTGGTGAGAGGAGATGAAAGGAAATGTTGAGGGAGGTGCCGAAGGCTGTGGGAGACAGCGGGAATATGTCGAAGATCACGAAAGGCGGTGGGATGTAGTGGTTGCGGGTCGAATTTAATTTTAAAAAACTAAACCTCAAACCGTTTTTAAATAGCGGTCAAAAAGCAGATTTCGTCTGCAATCGCCCGCTATTCACCACTATGACATGCTATTGGCCGCTTTTGTGAGTGGAAAGCGCATATTCTGTAATATGTCACCACTATTGGGTAATAGCGTAACGGGAAGCGACAGCTAATGCTATTAGCACAGCTATCGCGGCGCTATATACCGCTATTTATAACAGTGCTAGATTCCAACGATTTTGCAATGTGATTGCTTCCATGCATTATGCCACAAGATTAGAGGAGATGCTCAAAGGTAAAGCCTTCAATGAGGAAGTAAAGGATTCCTACATGAATGTTAACATCTTTAGCACAATTCTGAAACTGAAGCTGCATAATGAAATTAAACTCCAACAAAAATTAACTCACTGTATCAGTTGATTCAGTGTGTAATGGCCCTTTGCTTGCTTTCAAAGCAGCTGCTAGTTCTTCAGCCTGTACAAAAAAAAAAAGATCATTTCCATGTAATAAAAGATGAGATGCTACCAAAGGAAATATGAACCAGTTCTCCTTTCTAAAATACCTTACGAGCTTCGGCATTAGCTATCTGTTCAGCATTCTCTTTTCTATATTTCTCAATTTTAGCTTCAATTGCAGCAACATCTATTCCTTCAATCAAGTTAAAGGCTTAACGAGAAAAAATGAAAATGGGTTGGTGTCAGAGGATGTAGCAAAGCATGAAAGACCATGTGCCTGGTGTGTTAACTGTTCTTTACTTACTCATATCTTCAACTTCTTCCAAATAATCATTGTATTCTCTCAAGGAAGGGAAGTCCTCCTCCCTTTTATTAAATCTACACATGCCAATACCATGAAGTAAATAAGTCAATGTCATACACAAACCAAGTAAATGGCAATAGTAGATCTCTAACTATTTATAATAAGTGGGAATTCAGAAAGCTGAATTTCTAAAGCTCGGTATTGGCATTAGATTTGCTCCACATCTTTTCTATGTGCATAGTGGGAGGTAAAAGTACTCACATCTAATGAAGTAGGCACCACCATTATTAGAAATCTAAAGCATAGTTTGATTCAAATAATTAAAAAAATTAATGTAAAATCCCTCTAAAGTTTATGATGCAGATGGTGTGCGCATTTGTCAGATCTTCACAAAAATCTTATGAAAGTATCTTCTATTGGACATTAGATGACGACGTGCAAGTGCAAAAAAATTTCAAGTTTACATCTGCATATGGAAAACTCCAATAGAAATTTTCTATTTTGGCATCCATTGATCATTCACTCTCCACTTTGTATTCAACAAGGAGAACCATTATAGTCTATGAAGGCATCAAAAAGGCATGTCTCATCACTCTGAAGCATATATCTTTCATGCCAAGTCCAACCCAAAATCCCCCACCCCAACCCCACAGTTTGCACCCCTACTATACACATTTGGGATACCATCGGATTTTAGAGTTGAAGTATATGATATAGATACATCCTCTGAGCCTAAACTAATACATTAGCATCGGATTAATCCCTACCAAGATATGGATTGCAATTACAAAGGATCAGAAAGATGCTATTGCATTTTATTACATTCATGGCATAATTCAACCCCACACTTAAGGCTGTTATGTAAATTTAGAGCTGGGTCGAAATAAAATCAAAATGACTACCAAGCCCAATCTGACCCAGTAATCCAAACTAAAAAGCCTATGTTTGGGAGTTCAATAAGGGAAGGAAAAGTAAGGTAAGATAGGGAAAGGTGATACGAGTTGACTCATGACAGGCATGAGTCGACTCAACCTGATGAGTCGACTCATGTACATTGTATGAGTCGACTCACGAGCTGAAAACTTGATTCTTCGAATCTGGTGCTCGTCGTCGCGTTCCACGCTTCCACCTGCGTTCCACTGTACTGTTTTACACCCCTATTCTCATGCTATCATGAGAATCATCTATCCTCAAGCTCTCATGAAGATCGCTAAGTTCCGAAGAGAAGATACACCCGTATCAAAAGGAATGGTAAGGAAGATGAGGGAAAATATAATATCTTGTTTGGAAGTTTTGTAAGGTGAATGGAGGTGAACTTTAAATTATTTTGTTTGGAAGTTCTAATTATGGGAAGGGAAGGGAAGTAAATAAATCTTAATCATTGATTCATTATGATAAGAGGGTCAAGATATCCCTTTCATTATGAAATTTTGCTTTCTTTCCCTTCCTCTCCTCTACCCCCAATTTGGAGGGGAACAAAATTGAACATTTTCCCCCTCCTTTACCCTCCCTTACCCCTCTTAAGAAAAACTCCCAAACAGATTAACTCTCTTTTTCCCTTCCCCTACCCCCCATTACCCTCCATCCAACCGTAGCATTAAGACATCTCTTGCTACCCTTCCTCTCTCCAACTCCTCATCCATTTAACACCCGGTTTGCGAAATTAATCATCCTAGAAAAAAAATTATCAAATTCGAGCACACCCAAGTCGGGACCGCCGGAAATATAAGACTGCGCTGGAAGTGAAAAGGGACATAACACTTGCTGATTTAACAATGAGAAAAGGTTCAACTTTTTTTCCCAGTTGAAACATTGGTGTTCAATTATTTTATAGGGTAAAACTTGCAGAGGTAGAGGTGATGAATGCATACATGCTGGAGATCTTCCTTCGGATGCTCATCTCTTTGGAGAAGGAACTGGCGGTCGACGAAACCACCATTTCTAGCTACGAACCGCCCTCTCTTTGCTAGCTGCTATAGACTTCCAATTGAGAGAACATTTACGGAGAAATCGAGAGAAAGGATCGAAATTGGGAGAGACCCTACAGGCTGATCTAGGTTGAAGAAAAGCGAGGGGGGCAGGAGAGGGAGGGGTATGTTTTGTGGAGAAAAGCCCTCGAGCCTTTGGGTAGTTTATCAAACAAACCCCAGGGACTTTTTTTCCCCATTGAACCTCAAAAAGTTTCCCCGAAAGACCATAAAGGTACGGAAAAGATTAAATATCCCCAAACCTTTTATTTTTTTCCCACAAGGTTCCCAGAAAAACAAGAAGACGAGAAGATGAGATCCAGAGAAAACACTTCTTCAGGGACTTTTGTTAAAAAAAAAATTAAAAGCTTTCGTGACTTATTTGAGAATCTTTGGGTTTTGTGGTACAAGTTTTGGGGTTTGACGGAAAAACAAGAGTTCATGGCGTTTTCTAACAAACACCACAAAGTTTGGGAGTATTGTGAGATTTACCTTTTTTTAAAGTAAGTTCCACAAAGTCAATGAAGTTCGCTACTAGATATTTCGAATCTCATAGGTTGTTTGAAATTGTTAGTCCCTCTGATCTAAAATGTTGAATAGAGTTCTACCCGATAAGAGGTCAGTGGAACTTACGGAGATGAGCAAAAAGAGCAGGTTGATGGAGGATGAAACAAATGGTTGGACTATGAGAATAAAATACTTGAGGGTTTCCATTGAAATTTCACCCAAAAATGGATTAAAGTGGTTGATTGACAGTAGAACTGCTCTAATGGCTTGTTCGGATTGAGGGAGTAAGCCAGAAGGAACTTAGTGCAATTGTTCATCTCAGCTGGGAACATTTAGGAGATGAAGCCAATTGCCCTTGGTCCCCCTCATTTCACCGCCTAATCTATATATATACATACATACTACTTCTAAAAAAGAAAATAAGTGTCAAAACTTTTGCATGCTCATTTTACCCCTTTCAACTTGCTTAATTATAATTTTATCCCATTATTCAATTAACATGTATTAGTGTTTAAGATTATTAATTATTAATTATTAATTAAAATTAAAAACTAGGGGATTATTAATTCGACTCTTTCCTCTCCCGCTCAACCCACCCGCCCACCTACGCCTCTTCATCTCCAGTTATTTCGATATCTCTGCTTCTTCATCTCCGATTTTTCGATTCTTCGCTGACGGGGATCATAAGGATGACGGTGATGTGGTACTTCACCATGAAATTATTCTCTCAGAAGAAACCCCCTTCGTATCCTTCTCAGCTCACCAACAACTTGTTTCAGAAAGGCGAGCATTGGCTAGTTTTTGTCATCAAAACTCTAATTCTCTTGATTTGCTCGATCTTGTGAGTTTGTTTTATGAGAGTGTAATCTTTAGTTTACGATCAAAGAAAAGGATTGAAATTAGATTTTTTTTTTTTTTTTTGGTTTTTCAAAACCTCATCTGATGCATCATTAACACTAAATTATATAATTTAGTGTTGAAATTAGTGGAGATTGTACTTCTTTTTAACTTTGAAGAGAGGAAAACGATGATCTTTAGCACTGTATTATGTTTGTGTGACGCCTCTGGTTTCATACGAGGCTGCAGTCCAAGGTGAATCCAGAGATGTCAAACCTATCATGCACCCACACAATACAATAACACGTTTTACTATCACAATAATATATCTCTAGTGGAATCAATTAAGAACAATGCAGGTACAAGCAGATACGAGAAAAGTAAAAATGCAATGAACATGCCAAGTGAAAGAAATATCCAAAGAATATGATCATGTCCCAACTGAATAAAAAGAGTACAACTAATAAACTGAAATAAATGTGAAATATCTCAATACACTGAGTCAACTAAAATAGTACTAAGGCTCTCAGCCTTTAAAATGAAATACAAGTTTATAAATCACTAAACAAATACTAAACTAATGTGGAGCACAAGCTGCCTATCAAGATGACGGTAACTATGCAGAAACTCCGTCAACCTGCGGCTCTTTGAAACTCTGATTCGCTGCCTGAAAAGAAAGGAAACAACACCATCAGAGCGCTGGCAAGATCATCTCCATTTGCCCCCACAAGAAAGGCTGCTACATATGATGGAGGCTCTACCTATATATGCATAGTCTACCTAAATCATTTACCCTGTACTAGATGGGGTTAATACTTAGAAATCACAACACAAGACTGGTACGTCGAGCAAAATAATCCAAATAAGGAAACCCTCATGTATATACCATATGTCTCAAATTGTGAATCGCTAAATATCAACTCCAAAACTAAAAAATAAAGGAATAAAGAAATGCAATACTAAAATGTTAACTAAACGAAGTCATATATGTCAACCCAACATCCCATGCTACCTTTGGGTAGTCAATACGAATATCAATATATAATCCTGTGAAATCCACAATACCATATACTCTGTTACAAAAGAACTCAACGGTGAACCATGTAAATAAATGACCTCCCACCTAAAACTCGAACGGTCCTAGGTTTCATAGTACTATCTCTTGTAAAGTTCTATGGTATCATCACATCATTATGTGGAACAGACTACCTGTTCAGGCATGCTAAATAAATACGGCCCACTAGCCTCATCGCATCATCGTGCAGAACGGACTACCTCTTCGAGTATCCTACAAGTACGGCTCATTAGCCTCATCGCATCACCGTGCGGAACAGACTATCTCCTCAGATATCCTCATCGCATCACCATGCGGAAACGGACTACCTCCTCAGGCATCCTATAACTATGACTCACTAGTCTCATTGCATCACCATGCGGAACGGGCTACCTATTCAGGCATCCTACAATTACGGCTCAATAGCCTACTTCAACGGTATACCGACATACTACCTTAAGCAGTATTGAGCTATGCCCATCAACGGTATCCATACACACACATATATTGTTCTAACTAATCGTCTCCCCGTCGTGGTAAAAACAATACACGCAACTATCCCCTACCCGAAAGTCCGCGTATGCCAAGCCTCCATAGATGTACATTTATATCGTACGTGTAAATTGTTGTACGTCTCGAACCCCGTGTTCACGAACAACGTGCAAGAAAAATCATCACAAACAAGATATGATGTCGGTCGACTGCCCTAGGGCATTGGTCGACCAATGACCAATTCACATAAACATGAGTAAAAACAAGCTTCGGTCGAATAAAGAATTACACAAACTCAGGGTGGGATCGGTCGACCGATGCACAGGGTTCGGTCGATCGACCAGAGTCCAGAACTCAGGTTTGAGTCTCATGAAGTTAAGATAATTTTAACAAAAAGGACTCATAGAACATCACTATGGGGTATAAAAACATATTTAATCATGTGTTTAACATACTAGTCAAACAATTATTTATCATCATAACATGATCTTTGGGGTTTAAAAATATTTTAAACATAATTAATCAGATTAAGTTTGTATAATTAGGGTTCAAAACCTAATTAGTTCATCATCTTACTAATTAACCACGGTTCTAAACATCAAATTAATACCTTTCATTCATTTAGTATTTATATTCACAGATATACACATCAAACTAGGGTTATTAATCCACAAGCTTATATCACTATATTATTTCATGTTCAAGACTCAAGTTTTATATACCGACAATTAGGGTTTATGCCATGTAAAACAAAAATTATCAATTAATCTGAAAACTAATGATCATGATCATTAATTTTTATCAATTAAAGATTAATTCTTCTGATTCTCTTTATTGTTTTAAGATTTAACATCAAAACTAGGATTTAAAACTATCGGAATGAACACTACACATTAGATTAACCAATTATACATATTAAAAACATGAATATCTACAGGAGATAGATTTGGAGGAAGATGACCTTGCCTCAACACGCTGCTGAAAAATCCAAGGGTGCAAGCAAATAGGTTCTCCCTCGCCAAACGCCGACGATCTCGCACTCTTCTCGGTATTTGCTTCACAAAGCTCTCAAAATTCACCAAAATATGCTCTAGGGTCTAAACTACTTGGATTTTTAATGGATCCAGTTTCTTATAATTAAAAGTCAAAGGAAACTGGCAATAATAGTTAAATTTAAAGGAGTATTTCTTTAAACCTAACCGGTATTAACCAGTGGACTTAATTGTAAACATTGTGATGATTTGAGGGATGTAATAGAAATTTCCATGATTTGAGTGACTAATTTTGAAATATTCAAGATTTAAGGGACCAATTTGAAAATATTAAAGATTTGAGGGACTAATATTGAAATAATCAAAATATTAACTCTAAACACAAGGATGTAAAAGAAAAATTAGTAATAATAGTTAGATTTGAGGGTTGCAATAGCAATTTCCATGATTTAGGGGACTAATTTGAAAATATAAAAGCTTTGAGGGGCTAAAATTGAAATAACCCTAACATTGCATCTCAAACCAAACCCTAGCTTCCACTCATTTCTCATTCTCAGTCTCTTTCTTTCCC